TATATATAGTGCATGATGAATTATAGTGCATTGTAAACCATGGTACACGGTAAACCATGGGGCAAAGAGTAACATGGTGCATTAGTAACCATAATATATCATCATGATTAACCATGATGCATTGAACCCACCGTATTGCATGCCCAACCCACGGTGCATGTTGAATTACGATGGACGGTGAACCATGGTGCACGATGAGAACCATGATAGTTATCTTTGCTTTTTCATGTTTAATTTTTTCAGCTGCTCTCCATGAAAAAGAGATTACGAAGCAAAATCTTTTAGCTACAAGTCTATACCTCCAGTGTTAGATATTGAAAAACGGTAATCATTAGGCGTAGGAAAATATTTTTGAAATAGTTACGTCATGTTTGCATACTTTAGTACATTTTATTTCATTTACTTTGTCTTAAAACAATACGGTACTATCAAAAGGTACAGACAGGATCACCAAAATTATAATAGCCCTAAATACTGTCATATAGTTCTCCAACCCGATTGAGAAAGCATAAATAAACGTGATATAAACATTGAAAGTGGATACATTTTATCACCCGATACATAAATTTCAACAATGTATACACAGACCATTAAAATGGAGAAGATTATGAAAATTAATACAAAAAAATAAAGCCTAATAAATTCCACTCATCTCAACTTACAATTCAATCTAGATAACTCGGCATCTATGTTAGTTGTGTTGCCGATGCTAGAGACTGACCACTGGAACAGTAAGGCCCTTGCCCCGCTTCCAGTTGATTTTCGCCCGTCCATGTCAATATTTCCACAGCTAGGGATTCGCTCTGAGCCCGAAAGGATTGCTTTAGGCCGGAGAGCCCATACGGGTGCGCTGATGGTGGCTGAGCCATTTGCTGCTAATGAAAATTCTTGCCGAAAGCTCCTCAATGCCCCTTCTTTTAGGGTCAGTAAGTCGTCTGGTATTGAGCAGAAGGGTAGGTGGTTAGGAAACTATACATTAAAACCCTAAAACCAATTTCATCTTACAATGTGAACTAAATTAAATAAAATTGTTATTGCCCGTTTGAGATTGTGATCTTTGAGTGATTGTTTTGATGGGCCTTTTCATTCATATTCTTCAACTTTTTGCAAATTGTGTAATAATTCAACTACAGTATTTCATTGATAGTTGCAATAAAATGAGTGATTGATTAATGGATTGATTGATCATACTTCATGGATTTATAGGGCAACATATATGACCATATATAGCCATGATGTGCCTATTAATGGCCAAGATGTGGTGTTATCATGACCTTATTTTGGCATATCACAAATATGGTAGCCTGGGCACTTCCAAGAAAACTACAATTTGTGCATCCAATCAAAGATACTAGAAATACAAGATAGAGTTCTCCACACAAAAAAAATGTTCCACCGTGTTCCACCGAAATGCATGGTGGGAATACGAAAAATGGGACGCCCCTACAGCTGGATCTAAAAAAACTTGTGCCAAACTTTCGTTACCAAGTCGTCGCGTATTTTATTATCAATTCTCAACAAAGATACTAGATATAAAAACAAACTGG